CCCTGCCGCAGCCGTGCTGCAGGAGGAGGAATGCCCCAAAACCCAGCAAACCCCAGCCTTCCCCTTCAGGGCACTGTCTAGAGGGGTCCTGGAGGTTAAACCTTATTGCACAACAGCCCCTGGGGGAAGCAGGGAGCAGAAGCTGTGGCAAAGCTGCTGCTTTCCCAGCGCAGATTTCCCGGGGAGCCGGCCTCCCTTACCCCCGGTTGGGCTGTGGTTCCATGTAGTTTCTTGGCCCTGCCTGAGTCATCAGGGAGTTGAACTCCTCAGGCTGCCCGAAGTGCGGAAGCCAAGTTTAACCTGGTGTCAAATCACTTAAAACCAGTTAGATTTTGCTCCTGTAATTTCTTCTCAGTGCAGCGTGTGCTCTGCTGGGTACCAGCTCCCCACGTCATTTGTGTTTCTTGGTTCTCTAATGGCAAATGCCCTAAACCCTCCCTGCTTGCACATGACTGAGAATGGCACTTAATGAAAGGATAAAAGCTTCCAACTAACAAGCTTGGGATAACCACAAAGGAATAAAGTGTTCTTTCCCAGCAAAGCCCTTTGGCGCGGTGAGCGGCAGCCTGCTGTGCTGGCTGCGGGAGGCAGAGCAGCAACCCTAAAGCTGGGAGGGGGGCGGGCAGCAGCGTTTCCCACCCAGTTCCCGGATGGATAAATGGCATCAGGTGTAAGTAGCTGGAGTTGGTCATAGCCCTGGTGCATGATACTGCTCTGTGCTGATACGCCTCCCGCTAGAGCAGGTTGCTCCAAGCCCCTGTGTCCAACCTGGCCTTGAACACTGCCAGGGATGTGGCAGCCACAGCCTCTCGTTGTGCTGGCAGGAGCACTGAGGCCCTGACGCAATAACTGCAGCATCCTTGGGGCTGCCTGTTGAGGAAGCAGGGACATGGACAGTTAAACCCTGCAATGAGCAGTGACCGCTCCGGGTCCAGGAGGACACAGGGGGCTCGTGGGCAGGCAGATTCCAACCTGTTTAAGGGTTATCTGTTGCTGGAGGGGATGTGCAGGTCCAGCCGAGGGGTTGCTTTAGGGGGCAGGAGGCTGGAGCCGCTGTTGCAGCCATGTCCATGCGCAACCTGGTTCCTCCAGCTGATCTCCCCGTGTAGCTGCCAAGCAGAGTACAAGAGCTGAGGACAGCCACGTCCCTTCAGCACTGGCCTTGCCAACCGCCTGGCTCTGTTGACACAGCCCCGAGAGGCCAGCAAGGAACAAGGCATTTTTTCCTCTAGCTGAGACTGCTGGTATTTAGGGCAGAAAAAGCCCTTCTGTGTATCCCGGCTGCAACAGCCCCATGAGCATAAAGCTACACTGTGCAGAACAGGGCAGCCCTGTTGCTGCCGGGGCTACCAAACAGCCTGGTGCGATGGGAGCAGTTGTACAGATGGGTTTCTCTTCCTGGAAACGTGCTTTGACACCAACAGATCTGATGAATGTTTTCTTCTTTCTTCCCTCCCCTTCTCCCAAGCTTTGCGATTGCAGCTTCCTCCAGGGTTAGTTTGGGGAGTGCTGGATGGTGGGAGCTCATGTTCTGTTGTTCCCGTGAGTTTTGGAGAGCTGGGTGATGGAGATGAGGGTTTGAGCATCAGTGAATCCCCCCCTGAAACCAGGAGGTGCAGACCCCTGGGTTATCACACCCTGTTAGTCCTGGTTCTCCCCAGATGCCTTGTTCCTAGTAGCATTCCAGGCTGGCTGCGGATCCTGCCTCCTCTCCTTGCGCAGGCAGGCTCTGGCATTGCTCGTGGCCCTCCCAAGTGCACAGATGTCACAAGACAGATGTGCTTTGATCGCTGGGCATCTCTCCCAAAGCATGGCCTAGATGGCTTGGAACAGCCCAAGGATGAATTCAGCGGGGTGGAAAAGCGAGTTTACAGCGGGATTAAAAGCAAACAGAGACTTACACCAGCTCAGAAACAAGGAGGAAGATTTGCTTAACACTGGTCAGATGTTCAGGGCAGGGCACGTGGGGCTGGGATTAAACCCCGGAGTGACCAGCCTTCTGCTTAAACACACTTGGGCCCATTCCCCAAGTTACTCTGCTCTGCCTCAGCATCCTTTGGCATCATCTGTCTCCTTGTGTGCTCTTGCACTCACCTTCCCCGGAGGGAGACTGCAAGTTACAGGGGAGGAACGTTCCTCCAGCAGTCCCTAAACACCGAAGCGTGTGAAGCGCCTTGTTCTGCCTTGCTTCCCAGGAAACCTGGTACTGGCACGGGGACATCAGCGCTGACAACGTCGTCATGAGCGGCGTCAAGTGTTCGGGCACGGAGATGTCCCTGGCCCACTGTCGTCACGACGGAGCCCACGTCTCCTGCCCCAGAGGAGGAGGTCGCTTCGGTGCTGGTGTGTCCTGCTCGGAGAGTGAGTAGCACAGATTTGATTGCGCGTGTGTGTGTGCGCCCTGAGCTGTCTGCACCCATCGGGTAACGCCAGCCCCCCTCTCGCAGCCGCGCCTGACCTGGTGCTGAACGCGGAGCTGGTGGAGCAGACGGCGTACCTGGAGGACCGGCCCATGTTCATGCTGCAGTGTGCCCTGGAGGAGAACTGCCTGGCCAGCTCCGCCGCCAACACCTCCCTCACCTCGGGCTACCGGCGCCTCCTGCGCTTCTCCTCCC